CATTTAAATGATCCTGACTATTTAAAGAAATTCCTCCAATATCTATTGTTGTAAGTTGCATATTTCTTAATACTTCTACTGAAATTATTGTAACGCTATAACTAAATAGTTTTATACAATTACGTAACTTTAATGTTTTTAGATTAATTGTTTTTGACAAAAATTTTGATAATACCTCAGTTTTAAAGCTGCCCGTATTGTTAGAAAGATCAAATAATTCCAACCTTTCTGGACAACTTGCAGTAAAGGCATTTAGGATTGTTTCAATATCAGCGCCAACCAATCTACAATTTGAAATATCGAATTCTTTTATTAATGATCCATGGACAGCTAATCCAGCTGCTAAATCATTTAATCCACCTTCTGATATGAAGTTATTATTCAGGATAAATCTCTCTAACAAAGATTTTCCTGTAGAGAATGCATTCCCAATAACTGACATCGTTTCACCAGTAATTCCACATGATGTTAAATCTAATACTTTTAACCTTGGATTTAATGTGAGGACATCATATAACATTACAGAAAGCATATTTGTTCCTTCGTGATTAATTGGCCCGGCTTGAGATTGAAGTTCAGAAAGGTTTACATTCCGTAAAATTAACTTGTATATTAACGGATGATGTTTTAGTGAACTTAGTACAGCATATAATTCAGCACTAGAATATGATCCTTCAACAGGTGGGTGTAATGTGAATGCGTAAAGTAAATTACCAAAACTTTGTCTGAATACAACACTCTCTGTGTCAAGAACACGTTCGAATGAGAACGAAATTCTTGATTTAGATATTCGGAAAGCATGACATTGAGCTTCAATTATTCTTTCCAATCCACTTCCTTGAGTTATTAATTCTTCAATATTAGGGGGTTTAACTCTCTCTGCTGGAATTGATGTCTGTGGGCCAAGTGTATATATGGAGTATGGCCACCAGAATGTTATTGAATCGATGGCAGATCGAAGTTCTGTAATGATTGTCTCACTAAATAATGAAGCGATATCCATTGTTCGTCGTATATTTCCACTATTACTTCTAAAAGTTAATCTAAAAGTATCTTGTTCAGTAGATTGAATGTTTGCAAGACACATGATAGGGTATTGATATTTTCTTAAATCGACTTTTCTAGGCTTCATTTCTTCAAAAAGTAGTTGAAATTGAAAAGCATTTTGATCTAAACTCGTGTCATGTTCATCAAAAATGTCAGCCGGAACCAAATAAACATTATTCCTTCCAAGTATGAAAAATGATGTTAATAGAGGTTTTTTTTCAATATGTTTTCTATCACTATCTTTTAATGATTTTAGCAACACTTTATAAGCCAACATATTTTCAATGTCTTCGTCAACCCAATCTTCAATTAATGTTAATTCTTGTATTATTCGTGTTCTTTGTTTTCTTGATATACGTGGTCCAATTGGATTGGACTTTTGAATAGCGTGTCGTAGTGTAGAAAGTAGGTGTTGATGTTTTTGAAAATCAGAAGTTGTGATTGTGATAATATCATGCCTTTTTTGTGATGAGACAAAATATATTTTAATATATGGTTCCGGTACGAGATACTCGGTTATAGCATATACGGTATTTAATACTAAGGCTGTATTCTGGTTCAACAATAATTTTGTTATATTTCCTGATGTTGTATTAGCAGCCAAATCATTATACTCATTAAAAGCTTTAACAGCCTTATCCTTATTTTTAAAGTGATATAAACATTCTTGCGTTAAGACAAGATAGTTATTAAAAGACATTTTATTCGTTGAATTCCATTTGGAAACCTTTAATTCAAATAAAATTTGTTTGTTATCCCCAAGCGTAGAACTCGCTTGACTCCGCTCTTTGACATTTTTTGATTTTCTCTGACGATTCAATGCGTCTCTTAATGAACTAAAATTTATAAGCTTTGCGAATTTAGGTTTTGGTAATGAAGGTAGAGTTTTATTATCACTATTTTCTTCAGAATCGCGAGTGCATATCGTTTCTTCGGAATCATTGGCTTGCTCATAAGCATACGCCGAAATTAAAGAAAGTATCGAAGAGCTATAAACAGAATCCGCCGATTCATTGCTACCACAAAGACTCTCATTATTAATCACAGCATCTTGAATTCGTTGTAAAAGTAATCGTTGTTGTTCTTCGAGCTTTATACGTTTATCTGGCGTTTGAAGCATGTTATTAAAAATTAGACCTGTGAAAGGTTGGTTATGACCCTCTATTTCAACAGCATCTTTATCTGCTTCAATAAAATCCATAATTACTTCAGCTGTGTCTATTTCGTCTTGAGTTTGGACATGATCCTCAGATTTTAATTGGCTCACTTCCATTTGTGAGATATTCTCCTAAAAATTTTTAAGACGACAAAAATAAAAAATGAACAATTAATGGTCTCAACTAATAGTTATATATGGAAATTTTAATATGTTTGCCATATTTGCCATATCTGATATGCGCGTCATATTTTACGTACGTACGCAACATATTCGGACAGATAGTCATGATCAAATCCGAAATAGATCAAAATATGGAATGATCTCCAGGTGAGTGAAGAGTAAAATTCGTAAAGCTTTCTATTAAAGCTTACAAAAAATAGGACATTTGTTAAATTTGTTAAATGTGATCGGTTAATAATGTGGAGTTTCAAAATTAAAATGCGGAAATTTTGATTTTGATAGGTATATTATTTAATTCAGATAGTGATGTATTAATTTATTTCATTTTGAATTAATTGGGGATTTTAGAAATAAAAAAAATCCTATTTTCTGTTTTAAAAATTCCGAATTTGAAAATTAATAAGTATACCCGATAAATCTCTACTGGTAAGCGATTATGTAAGCAATTACGTATACACTTTTTTTTAAAAAATCACTTATTTCATGAAATGAGTAACGATAAATCATGCTTTTGAATATTTACTACTAAAATATCTGAAACCAAAGTAACTTAACACTTGAGATCGTATCGTCTCATTAAGATGATTCAAATTATATATATATATTAAAATCTAAGTGTTAAGTTACTTGATCTTAGGATATTTTTATTAAAATTACCGTACAAGCGCGAAATAACGCGCAGGGGCGTTATTTTGAATAATGGCTTGAATTAAGCTTAATTTAGGTCAAAATTTGAAATTATACCCTGCGCGTTATTTCGCGCTTATATGGTAATATTCAAAAGCATGATTTACAGGCTTTCTCTTCACTCAAATTGGGTCACCAACACCTCATTTCATTTCCAGTTTCAACATAAATACTTCTACTTATTTCTGAAATAAGTTTTTTTAATTCTGAAACCCTCATTATCATATTTAACATATTTTGATATGACTATTATAGGGTTCTATATAGTTAAAAAGAAACCCAAATTCATTTTTAATCTGACATTAATTGAATAATGAACCGGTTAAGAATTCCGTGTATATAAAATTTTTAGACTTTAATTACAGAGTAATGAATAAATGCTATTTGGGGAATGGACTAGGAAACTCACTTCTGTCGATTTTATGATTTTCAAATTAAATTAATAAAATATTGGTTCTTACATATATGAATTACACTTTTTATTCCACATTGATTTAGTAAATTATTGAGATTGTTATTTGAAAAAACAATGCTTTGAAATTAAAATAGATAAAAATTGAAAATTGGTGAATCAAATTACTCGAATATTTTTAAAGCATTGTTTTTAAAATCGAAAAATTTCAACAATTTACCAATTCAATGTAATTCATATATGTAACGGTAAGAACCAATAATTTTCATAAAACCGACCAAAGAGTGCTTCCATTCTCCATTTGGAATCTTTGCCAGGAAAATCAAGCCACGAAACATATGATTTATACTATGTAAGGTTTTTAAGTGGATGATTTTCCCTCTGCGTTGTTACACAAATAACATGTGCAAGGGAATATACGATAATGAATTTTTATGTTACACATCAAATTAGTTCTGACATGATTATCTGAATTTTCAATCATCCACAAATTTAAAGAACCGTCTAAATTTAGCTTGAACCCGGGTATACGTTTATCCGTTTAATTGTATTCTTTTATACGTAAAGCTGACAGCTATCGCTATAATTTGCGGATAACCTGATTAACTGGAAAATCTATACCACTGTATAGTACCCCTTGAAGATGTACCCCCTTTAAATACGTAGTATCGGGGTACTATTAATTGTAATGGTGAATTCTAACATTTTTGAAAAGCATCCCGGTATTAATCAAGTGGCCGAATCAAAGATTTTATTCAGTGTTGGCATATTTGAACTTGGACAAATATGGTTATGAACTAATCCAAATTAGAGAAAGATTCTTAATTTTTTTTTTTACTGTTGGCCAAGATTATTTCTTATTATTTCTTGTAGCTGGGAGGAGTTGTTGCAAATATTGTATCCCGTGTAGCGATGCAGGCATTTCTCAGAGTGGTGACTATAAACGGACGACGTAGAGGTCGTACTACCCGAGGTTATATTGCTGTGAGATAGTTGTCGTGGGTGATGTAGTATGTCGTATAGCGTTACTACCCTGAAAATTTCGCCGGCCTCAGCACAAAAAATCAATAGTTTTGTACGAAATGGTTCATGCGCTTTACACAATTATAATCAATTTTCGTATATCATCCAACCAAGTTGCTGAATATGCATAACAATATCCTCTTTTACCAATTTCTTTAACGTTAGATACCGTATAAGCGCGAAATACCCCTTTTGACATCAATTTCGTACAAAAGGGCGGGTTATACAAAGTGACATTTAATTTTGTACAAAGTGACATTTAATTTCATACAAAGTGACATTCAAATTTGTACAAAAATAAAAGGTTGATTGAATCGTGATATCTCGTGATCTAGTAATACAGTTTAGGTGATTTTGGTATCATTCGAATCGCCTCATGGAGAGGATTCGAATGGGGATTTACTTCTTTCTCACTGTGATACAAATCACATGGAATTATAAATATTAAACAATGGGATGAGTGATATAATACTCAACAAAAGCATATAGTAGAAATCGCCAAAATTGCTTCTTTAGAACGAAAGTTCTTATATGATGATATTGTTTGCCTAATTAATGATCAAAATCTATTTTCTTTAGAAAATTTATTAGAGTTTGATCCTCCTAATTGGCTTAGATATCGTAATCCCGTAATAGTAAAATTTATAGAGACACTTACTAATAATGATGATGAACAATTACATCAAAATAAAAATTTCAAACATGTAACTGCTGTAGATGCAATTTATAGATCACGACATAGCAAATATGTTTCTGCAATAAATCTTGCTGCATCTGCAATTAATATTCTATTGCCCGGTCTAAACTTATAATAGATATAGACAATCGTATTACTAGTGAAGGTGGATATACAAAATTTGTAAATTGGATCGAAAGTTTAGCAATTGAGCCTAAGTCTTTGCCCGACAGATTTTTAGTTTTAGCCTTTGATAATGAAAAAAAAGGCCAAAAGAATTACTTAGATTGGGGCACAATACAGTTGTATATCATACCGTAACTAGTTTTGTAGCCCTTAATTTTGATCCAAATAATAATAGTCAATTAGAAATTGAGCCACGAAGATGCAATTCACTTAATGATGATGATATTAATCAAATGTTTTATTTAAATAATAGTATGAAAAAAAAACTTGAAGAAGAGCTTCAATATTTTATTAACAAAATAATAAATAAATTACTTGCAGAAAAATGTCAAGA